ATACATGCAAAAGGTTTTGCAAGAGAGATACGAGTTCAGATGTGACGGACTCATCGGAAAAGGTGGAGGATCACATCTGACAGTCTTGAACCGAATTGTGACCTACGAACATGAAACAGGAAAAGTGACATACGAAGCTGATCCAAGACACGCAGAAATGATCATCAGACAATTGAACTTGGAAAATGCGAAAAGTGTGGTGACACCGTCGGAGAAGAAAAAGAGCAGCGAAGTGCTGGCATCGGTAGGTCTTCCACCGGTGACGGCAGAACAGACCACACTATACAGAAGTCTAGTGATGAGAGCACAGTTCCTAGCACAAGACCGTGCAGACATATCAGAAACAGTGAAATCACTGACGAGAAAGATGAAAGCACCAAACGATGCAGACGTCAAGGACTTGAAACGATTAGGTAGATACCTGGTCGGAAAACCAAGGGTCGTGTGCACCTACGAACCTCAGAGGACACCCAAGGTGATTAAAGTCTACACTGACAGCGATCATGCGGGTTGTTTGTTGACGAGGAAAAGCACAACAGGATTTGTTGTCATGATGGGACAACATTGCATCAAACATGGATCGAATCTCCAATCGACCATTGCTCTGAGCTCGGGAGAAAGCGAGTTTTATGCACTCGTACGAGCATCCGCAATTGGTTTGAGCATCAAAGCGCTCATGCAAGATTGGGGAGCCGAAAGGGCATTAGAGATCTACAGCGACAGCAGCGCTGCACGCGGTACAGCGAGCAGGCGAGGTCTCGGAAAGCTAAGACACGTCCAGACCCGTTATCTATGGATCCAGGAACGTGTGGCTGAGAACCATCTGCGGATCTGCCCGATCGGTACGAAGAACAATCTAGCCGATCTATGTACGAAACCCATAGGACGCAAAACTTGTGAGAGACACATGAAGAGCATGTGTCAGGAGTATCGTCTAGGGAAAGCTGTTGGAGCAAAGAAGTTAGAATCAACAAAGGTGTAGCGAAGCTAGCACCTGCGTTGAAGGAGGGGTGTTGAAATTTACACCTCCACATAAGCGTAATACAACCACTGTGTTGTACGTATATTTTGGCTCAAGTTTGGCTCAAGGTAAAATAGTTGAGTGTGCTGTTTGCTGTGCATATTTTCTGAAAGAATGTATGTAATGTATGTAAAGTATGTAATGTATGTAATATATGTATTACGTAATGTACGTAATTGTATGTAATGTATGTAATGTATGTAATGTATGTAATGTAATGTAATGTGATGTGATGTAATGTAATGTAATGTAATGTTGTGTATGTATGTATGGAATGTATGTAATGTATGTAATGTATGTAATGAATGTCATGAGTTAATGAATGAATGAATGAATGTATGTATGTATGTATGTAATGTATGTAATGTATGTAATGTATGTATTGTATGTAATGTATGTATGTATGTCTGTCTGTATGTGTATGTATGTGTGTATGTATGTATGTATGTATGTATGTATGTATGTATGTATGTATGTATGTATGTATGTATGTATGTATGTATGTAATGTATGTATGTACGTACGTACGTACGTACGTATGTATGTATGTATGTATCTATGTATGTAATGCATGTAATGCATGTAATGTATGTAATGTATGTAATGTATGTAGTGTATGTAATGTATGTAATGTATGCAATGTATGTAATGTATGTAATGAATGTCATGAGTTAATGAATGTAATGTTTTTAATGAGTTAATGAATGAATGTATGTATGTATGTAATGTATGTATGTAAGTATGTAATGTATTAATGTATGTATGTATGTATGTATGTATGTAATGTATGTAATGTATGTAATGTATGTATTGTAGGTAATGTATGTATGTATGTATGTCTGTATGTGTATGTATGTATGTATGTATGTATGTTTTGTTTTGTTACGTAATGTAATGTAATGTAGTGTAGTGTAGTGTAGTGTAATGTATGTATGTATGTAAAGTATGTGTGTAATGTATGTATGTATGTATGCATGCATGCATGCATGTATGTATGTATGTATGTCTGTATGTGTATGTATGTATGTATGTATGTAATGTATGTATGTAAGTATGTAAGTATGTAAGTATGTAAGTATGTAAGTATGTAAGTATGCAAGTATGTAAGTATGTAAGTATGTATGTATGTACGTATGTATTTATGTATGTATAGATGTTTTTTGATGTAATGTAATTTGATGTAATGTACTGTGATGTGATGTGATGTAATGTATGGATGTATGTATGTATGTATGTGTGTAATGTATGTAATGTAATGTAATGTCAAGTAATGTAATGTAATGTAATGTAATGTAATGTATGTAATGTATGTATGTATGTATGTATGTATGTGTGTATGTGTGTATGTATGTATGAATGTATGTAATGAATGTAATGTATGTAATGTATGTAATGTATGTAATGTATGTATTGTATGTAATGTATGTATGTATGTCTGTCTGTATGTGTATGTATGTGTGTATGTGTGTATGTATGTATGTATGTATGTATGTATGTATGTATGTATGTATGTATGTAATGTATGTAATGCATGTAATGTATATAATGTATGTATGTATGTATGTACGTACGTACGTATGTAATGCATGTAATGTATCTAATGTATCTAATGTATGTAATGTATGTAATGTATGTATGTATGTATGTATGTATGTATGTAATGCATGTAATGCATGTAATGTATGCAATGTATGTATGTATGTATGTATGTATGTATGTATGTAATGCATGTAATGCATGTAATGTATGCAATTGTAATGTATGTAATGTATGTAATGTATGTAATGTATGTAATGTATGTAATGTATGTAATGTATGGAATGTATGTAATGTATGTAATGTATGTAATGAATGTCATGAGTTAATGAATGAATGAATGAATGAATGTATGTATGTATGTATGTAATGTATGTATGTATGTATGTATGTATGTAATGTATGTATGTATGTATGTATGTATGTATGTATGTATGTATGTAATGAATGTAATGTAATGCATGTAATGTATGTAATGTATGTAATGTATGTATTGTATGTAATGTATGTATGTAAGTATGTCTGTATGTGTATGTATGTATGTATGTATGTATGTATGTAATGTATGTAATGTATGTAATGTATGTAATGTATGTAATGTATGTAATGTATGTATGTATGTCTGTATGTGTATGTGT